TGGGGGGGGGGGAATCTCAGGCTCCTGGAATCTTCTAGACTTTGGTTTCCCACCTACCTGTACGGTTTATTGGGGGAGGGGGGGTTAGCGGTGCCAGTCCTGGGGCTTGAACTCAGGGTCTGGGCACTGTCCCTGAGTTTCTTTTTTGCTCAAGGCTAGCACTCTACCACTTGAGCCACAGCACCACTTCTGGCTTTTTCTGTGTATATGGTACTGAGGAATCGAACCCAGGGCTTCATGCATGCTAGGCAAGCATTCTACCACTGAGCCACCTTCCCAACCTAAGCCCTAGACTTTTAAGAGGCCCTACTCCAGTTCTCAACCCTCAGCACCCTGGACCCACACAAGTTCTACTAGCTCAGTCAGTGAAGTTCATGCCTGTAATCCCAGCAACCAGGATCCTAGGTTGAAGCTAAGCCTGGGAAAAAGTTAGCAAGATCCTCCCTCAAACTCCATCTCAATGAACAAGCCTGGGTTGGTGGTACATGCATGACATCCCGGCACTCAGGAGACTGAGGAAGGAGGATTCTTAGTTCCAGGCCAGCTTGGGCTACAGAATAAGAAAAAGACCAAAAGAGTCAGGTGCTGGTAGCTCACGCCTGTAATCCTAGCTACTACTCAGGAGTCTGAGATCTGAGGATCCCAGTTCAAAGCTAGCCCGGGCAGGCAAGTTTGTAGGCAAGTTTGTGAGACTCTTATCTCCCATGAACCACCAGAAAACTGGAAGTGGTGCTGTGGCTCAAAGTGGTAGAGCACCCAGGCCCAGAGTTCAAGCCCCATAACCAACAAAGAAAAAAAAAGTGGATCAGGAAAGTCTGTGAGACTCTTATCTCCAATTAACTAGTAAAAGCTGGACTGGAGGCATGGCTCAAGTGGTAGAGAGCTAGCCTTGAGTGAAAAAGCCAGGGGCTGGGATTATAGCTGTGAGCTCCCATGCTTGGCCTGGACTGTGAGTGGAGACTCTGAGCAAAAGGCTAGTGGGAAGGTGGATGGCGGGGGGGTTGTTAGGGGGGATTGAAACCCTGGCTCAACCTAGCCATGCCTAGCCATGTGGGGGGCACAGATGGGGTTGGGGTGACATGGGGTCTACCTAGGAGCATAGATGGAAGGCAGTGGATCGTGGGGGAGGCCTCGCGTGTCAGGTCCTCGGGTCTCAACTTGACCTCTGTGTCTTGTCCGGACACCATCCATCACGGAGCTGACTCAGAGCTGGAGACAGGCGAGACACAATCACAGCCATGTCCCTCGGCGGATGAGCAAAGCTGGGTCCCAAGAGAGGAAGGGAGAGGCCCGGGGTCACACAGGCGGAGGTGGTGTGGGCTAGGACAAGGGCCCATCGCCCAGCCTCACCCCTCACGGGCCTCCCCGTTTCTCTTCCCCTCTCCCTCAGGGAGGTCCTAGGGCTGGTAGACATGGTGGCCCTGGAGAACGGGGAGCTGGGACCCCTTCTGTCCCCTGGCACCCTGCTGGGCTTGGAGGACGAATGTGTCACAGATGTCAAGGTATCTAGACTCCACATTGGCCATGATGGGGGTCACTGCGGGTTTGGGGGGGTTCTCCCCTCCTTGGTTCTGTCTCCCTTTTGCTGTGGGAATACCTGAGCTCTCAGGGTTATCTCTGCTTTCCTCCTTTCCTCCCCAGTGCGCATGCCAGGGGAGGGGGAGGGACACAGATGCTCAGAGGTTGGGACACATCAGATCCTTGAAATCCTAGAGCCTGAAAAAGCCAATGACCTTTCTGCACACAGGTGGCCCCCAGCCACAGAGGGGTGTCCAGGGGTGTCCCCTGTGGATGGTGAGCCCAGGACCCTGAGCCTTGAGATTCTAGATTCCAGTAGACCCACATTTGTCTAGCTCCTGCAAACTGGTGTTTGCATTAGGCCAGCAATCAGGAGATGAGCAATGCTCTGGAATTCCTGAATCATAGAAACCAAGAATCTAGCCAGACACTGGTGGCTCACGCCTGTAACCCTAGCTACTCAAGAGGCTGAGATCTGAGGATCATGGTTCAAAGCCAGCCCAGGCAGGAAAGTCCATGAGACTCTTATCTCCAATAAACCATCAGAAAACCTGAAGTGGTGCTGTGGCTCAAGTGGTAGAGTGCTAGCCTTGAGCTGAAGAGCTGAGGGACAGCGCCCAGGCCCAGAGTTCAAGCCCCACAACTGACAAAAGAAAAAAAAAGAAACCAAGAATCTTTTTATTTATTTATTTTTCTACGTGCCAGGCCTGCAGCTTGAATTCAAGACCGGGCACTGTCCCTTCATTTTCTTCCTCGAGGCTAGTGATCTATTTGAGCCACAGCACCACTTTTGGCTTTTCTTTTTTCCTTTTTTTTCTTTTTGGTGGTTCATTGGAGAGAAGAGTTTCAAGGTCTTTCCTGCCTAGGCTGGCTTTGAATCTTCAGGTCTCAGCTTCCTGAGTAGCTAGAATGACAGGTGTGAAGAATCTAGCAACTTTAAACTGTTTGGTGGGAGAGGAGCCAATGAAATAAAGATCTTTAAGCCCATTGGCTGTTAAACTTAGTGAGCTCAAAGCTCACTAAGGCTGGAGGGAAGCGAGGGCTGAAAGGACCAGGTGTCCTTGAACTTGGTGGCCTCTCTAGTGGGATCTGAAAAGACCTGAATGGCTCATACCTGTCATCCCAGCTACTCAGGAGGCTTGAGATCTGAGGATCCAGGTTCAAAGCCAGCCCAGGCAGGAAAGTCTGGGAGATTCGTACCGCCAATGAAACCAGCAGAAAGCCTGAAGTAGAGCTGTGGCTCAATGTGGTAGAGCTGTGGCCTTGAGTGAAAAACCAAAAACATATATATAAATAAAAGCACTTGAAGCTCCAGGGGTCAGGGGACGATGATGTGGCGGGAGGAAAGAGAAAGACCCTCACCCCAGCCAGCCCCCCCCCGACTCCTCCCGGCAGGCTCAGACGCGGGCAGCCCTTCTTCGAGTTCTCCAGGAGGACGAGGAGCGCTGGAGCTGCCTAGAGGACCAGCCCAGCGGCCTGGCACAGGACGTGTGTGAGGTAGACGGGCATCAGCTGCAGCCCCGCGGGATGGGCGGGAGGATGGCGAGCCCGCCGCCAACTCTCCTCTTCCTCATGGCTGGCACAGCTGCTGGAAGAGCACACAGAAAGAGCGCCCCGCATCAGCAAGGAGTTTGGGGAGCGCATGGCCCACTGCTGCCTGGGCGGGCTGGCAGAGTTCCTGCAAAGGTTAGGAGCAAAGGGGGACAGGGCTGGGGGGGGCGGGGAGATAGAAGATGGGGCGCTGGTGGCTTATGCCTGTCAGCTACTCAGGAGGCTGAGATCTGAGGATTCAGGTTCAAAGCCAGCCTGGGGAGGAAAGTCCACGAGACTCTTTTTTTTTTTTTTGGGTCCGGTCGTGGGGCCTGAACTCTGGGCCTGGGTGCTGTCCCTCAGCTCTTCAGCTCAAGGCTAGTGCTCTACCACTTGAGCCACAGCGCCACTTCCGGCTTTTTTTCTTTTTGCTTATGTGGTGCTGAGGAATCGAACCCAGGGCCTCAGGCATGCAAGGCAAGCGCTCTACCACTGAGCCATCTTCCCAGCCCCTCCACGAGACTCGTATCTCCAGTGAACCACCAGAAAACCGGAAGTGGTGCCGTGGCTCAAGTGGTAGAGTGCTGCTAGCCTTGAGCTGAGGAGTTCAATGACAGCTCCCAGGCCCAGAATCAAGCCCCACAACCACCAGGAAAAAAAAAAAAAAGAAAGATGGGGTTCTGACCCCAGCGTGGTGCCCTGCTCCTCTCCACCCTAGTTTCCAGCAGCGAGTGGAGCGTTTCCATGAGAACCCAGGAATCCGGGAGCTGCCCACAGATGTCTACATCAGCAGGACCATTGCCCTGGTCAACTGCGGGCCCCCCCTGAGGTGAGACACCCCCTACTGCATGTGAACACCCCAGGGGCTGCTCAACAGAGATGCCCAGGTGCCAGGTGGAAAATCCCAGCACTGACCCAGGAGACGTCCACATAGGACCTGGAAGTTCTAGAAGCATGCATGTCATGTATATACTTCTTCTCCTTCAATACTGGGATTTGAACTCAGGGCTTCGTGTTCTCTGGGCTTGCTTGCTGAGCTGGCGCTCTACCATTTGAGCCAGGTCTCCAATCTGGCATTTTGCTGGTTACCTGGAGATAAGAGTCCTACAGATGTCTTCCCCCTGCTAGCTTCAAACTGATCTTCTAGATTTTTGTTTTTGGCAAGGGGGAGAGAGGGGGGGAAGGGAGAGGGTGGTTGATCTTGAGGCTTGAACTCAGGGCCTGGGCACTGTCACCAAACTCTTATGCTCTTATGCTCAAGGACAGCACTCTACTACTTTGAGCCACAGCACCACTGGCTTTTGAGTGGTTAATTGCACATAAGAGTCTCGGGGAACTTTTCTGGTCTGGCTGGCTTTTTTTTTTTTTTTTTTTTGTGGTCGTGGGGCCTGAACTCTGGGCCTGGGCACTGCCCCTCAGCTCTTCAGTTCAAGGCTAGTGCTCTACCACTTGAGCCATAGTGCCACTGCTGGCTTTTTCTGCTTATGTGGTGCTGAGGAATGGAACCCAGGGCCTCATGAATGCAAGGCAAGCACTCTACCACCAAGCCACCTTCCCAGCCCTGGGCTGACTTTTAATTGTGATTCTCATATCTCTGCCTCCTGAGTAGCTAGCATATAGGCATGAGCCATGAGTGCCTGGATGAATTGGATTTTTTTTCCCTTTTTTTAAAAAACGAAAACAACATCCATGCCCTGGTGGCTCACGCCTGTCATCCTAGGAGGCTGAGATCTGAGGATTGTGGTTCAAAACCAGCCTAGGCAGGGAAGTCTGTGAGACTCATCTCCAATGAACCACCAAAAATCTGAAAGTGGAGCTGTGGCTCAAGTGGTAGAGCGCTCACCTTGAGCTGAAGAGCTGAGGGACAGCGCCCAGGCCCAGAGTTCAAGCCCCACAACGGACACAAAAAAACTGACTTTCAGTTCCCTTGGACCTTGCAGGGCTCTGGCAGAGCGTCTGGCCAGGGTGGGTCCCCCTGAGAGCGAGCCCGCTCGGGAAGCCTCGGCCTGCGCCCTGGACCGCGTCACCCGGCTCTGCCACCGTGTCCTCATCGACCTGCTGTTCCAGGAGCTGCAGGTGAGTGGGCGGGGCTGGGGGCAGGGACAGGGGGGTCTCAGGAAGCAGGTGGGGGATGGCCCTGCTTGGAGGGGAAAGGGGGGGTCAGGAAGTGGGAAAGGATGGGGAGGGGAGCTTGGGTGGGGCTCCCTACATCATCCAGGTGGGACACATCGTGAATGACACAGGGGCCCAGCTGGCCATTTACTCCCCCCCTTCTCTGATCAGAATAACCCCCAGGGCTCCAGGCCCACCTTATCCTGGTCCCCAGGCCCCTCCCTTTGCAGACTTCATCTCCATCTGCCCACTGAGTCACGCTCTCACCCCCCACCCCACCCCAGGCCTGCCAGCCCCTCTGCTGCCCCAAACAAAGCCAGGGCCTGCCTGCCTCAGGACCTTGGTACCTGCTGCTCTTGCTGCCTAGAATGCTCCCTTGGCGTAGCTGCCTCTCACCTCTTTCAAGTCCTGACTTGAAGCATCACCCTGTCCATGAGGCTTTCTCCTGTCATTCTGCAGCTGCTTGAGCCAGCCCAGTGCCATATACCTGTAGTCTCAGCCCAGCCTCCTGAGCAGCTAGGATTACAGGCATCAGCGGGGAATGGAGACCCAGTCTGGTACATTTTGGGCAGGGGCTCCACCACAAAGGCATACCTCCCCCCAGCATAGACTACACCCCATCCACAAGCCCCCTACAATCGAGCCATGCCTCCAGCACACTGCACTTTTTTGGTGTGACATGGAGCTTGAACTCTGGGCCTAGGCGCTGTCCCTCAGCTTCCCAGTTCAAGGCTCTACCACTTGAGCCACAGTGCCAATGGTGGTTCATTGGAGATAAGAGTCTCACGGACTTTCCTACCAGGGCTGGCTTTGAACCGCGATCCTCAGATCTCAGCCTCCTGAGTAGCTAGGATGACAGATGTGAGCCACCGGTGCCCAGCTTTTTTTTTTTTTTTTTAAACTCAAGGCTGACACTCTACTACTTGAGCCACAGCTCCACTTCCAGATTTTTGGTGGTTAACCAGAGATCAGAGTCTCAGACTTTCATGCCTGGTTAGATTCAAAGCACAATCCTCAGCTCTCAGCCTCCTGCGGAGCTGGGCTGACAGGTGTGAGGCACCTGTTCAGCTGGGGTTTGTTTTGTGATAGGGCCTGCACTGGTCCTGAATCTCCATCCGCCTACCTCCATCTTCCTGTGTAGCTGGGATGACAGGTGTGCATCACCATATCTGGCTAAAACCCTTCATCATTGAGTGAGGGTCCCCGTGTGCATCGTGTGCTATTCAGGCAAATTCTGTAGGTGGTTTTTGCCCAAGCCGCTAGGCTCCGTCCTGCCGCCCCGGCCCTAGCCCTTTCCTCAGCCCTCACCTGCTAATTAGAATCACCCTGGGGCCTCCGCCCCTTTCCTCCAGGAAGCCCTCCGGGATTCTCCCTGCCAGTGGGCATCCCTTCTGGGCTTCCTGCCCTGCTGGGCCTGTGCGCCCCGGGTGGCGGCTGCATGCGCTGCCTCCGGAGGACGCAGAGGAAGGACAGGGTGGTTCTGCCCCCAGGTGGGGGAGGGCAGGGCTGACCTCCCCACGCCCCCATCCTCCTCCGCCAGCCGCACTTCAACAAGCTGATGCGCAGGAAGTGGCTGAGCAGCTCCGAGGCGCTGGATGGCATCGTGGGCACGCTGGGCGCCCAGGCGCTGGCCCTGCGCCGCATGCAGGACGAGCCGTACCAGGTGCGGGGAGGGTGGGCGCGGGGTGCCCCCTTGCAGGGACCCCCCCTGGGGAGTGCAGGGGTGACCCGGGGTGACCTCCCCCCCCCCCGCAGGCGCTGGTGGCGGAGCTGCACCGGCGCGCGCTGGTGGAGTACGTGCGGCCCCTGCTCCGGGGCCGTCTGCGCTGCCGCTCGGCTCGAACCCGCAGCCGCATGGCCGGGAGGCTGCGTGAGGATGCGGCGCAGCTCCAGCGTCTCTTCAGGCGGCTGGTGAGTGAGACCCGGTGTGTGTGTGGGGGGTGGCATGGCCGGGAAGGGCAGGACCAGCTCCTCCAGGGTTGGGACACCTCATCTTAACCCCCATACAAGGCCGGGCGCAGCGGTACACACCTGCCATCCCAGTTACATGGGGAGCTGGCTGGCCCCCAGCCTGCCTGGGCAGCAAGAGAGATCTGACTGGAAAAATGGATGGATAAGAACAGTGGAGGGAAGCGGGGGGGGGGGCATGGCTAAAGTGGTAGAGCACCTGCTTCCAAAGTGCGAGGTGCAGGGTTCTAAGCCCAGGGCGCCTGGGCTTTAAAGCTGGAATCGGGAACAAATGGTCTGCACCCAGCGCTTTGGTGAATTCCTGGGCTGTAACCGGAAAACCGTAGCCATTCTTGCCACAACTGATAGAACATCTTTTCATCAACAAAAATTGAAGAAGAAGAAGAAAAAAGACTAGGAGCCCGAGGAACCCAGAATCTCCCAAACCCAGCATGCGGAGCACCCCAATCCTCCCCGTCCCCAGCTGTCACCTGGGGTGCCCCGCCACCCCTCTCCCAGCGTCCAGCCTGGGAGTCCTTGAAACTTTGTACACACTCTCTGAGATTAGATTGACACAGCGGCCAGGAAAGCAACACAGCGAACACAGAGCGGCCTGTGCGCTCTCTATCTTGTCTTCCCCTCCTGTAACATTTTGCAAACTTGCAAAAGGATCCGTGCCCTCTCCACTGCCCCCTCCACCGCCGCCTCTCCTGCCAGACCAACCCTCCACCCCTGGGTCACCCTGGCGGCCCTCAGAATCGTCTCTGGCTCTCAACCAACTGAGCCACAGTACCATTTCCGGTTTTTGAGTGGTTAATTGGGGATAAGAGTCTCACCAGGAGTTTTCCACTTGGGATGGCTCTCAACTGCCATCCTCAGATCTCAGCCTCCTGGGTAGCTAGGAGTACAGTTGTGAGCCTCTGGCACCTGGCTTCCCTGCTCAAGGCTAGTGCTCTACCACTTTGAGTGACAGCGCCTCTTCCAGGTTTTTGGGTGGTTCACTGGAGATAAGAGTCTCCTGGACTTTCCTGCCTGGGCTGGCTTTGAACTGCAATCCCTCAGATCTCAGCTTCCTGAGCAGCTATGATGACAGGCATGAGCCACCTGCCCCCGGCTTCTGTCTTCTTTTGAGAAAAGGTCTCATCGTGTAGCCCTGGCTAGTTTGTAACTCTGGATCCTCTTAGCTCAGTTTTCACATGCAGGGATTACAGGCATGCCCCACAGCACTGGGCTTGGGATAGGTTTTGAACGCTGTTACCTAGTGGAGAGATAGATTATAGATTTTCCTTCAATTAGTCCCTGCCCCTTCTGCGCCCCTTCACAGATGGGGGGGCGGGATGGGTCCGCTGGGCAAAGTATGAGCAGTGGGCTGTGCCCCTTCCCCCCACTACAGGAGTCCCAGGCCTCCTGGCTGGACGCGGTGGTACCACACCTGGCGGAGGTCCTGCAGCTGGAAGACACACCCAGCATCCAGGTGGAGGTGGGGGTGCTGGTGCGGGACTACCCAGACATCAGGTGAGCCCCCTGCCCTCCCCCAAGACTTGGCATCTGTCCCCCCATTTCCTGCCCCGCCCCCCTTCCAGGCACGGGAGGGAGGCGGCAAGCATGTCTGCGGCTGTTTCCTGCTGGAACTGGGCAATATTAAAACGATTTCCCTCCTCCCACCGCCACCAGTGCCGCCGCCACCGGCTCGCAAACAAACAGGCGGCTACAGGAAGCCGGGGCAGTGGGGCGCTGGGCAGGGGGGCAGAGAGGAAGGGCTGGCCCAGCAGGGGGGACTCAGGACAGCACAGGCAGGCGGGCATGGAGAGCCATCCAGTCCTGAGGGCCACTTGCTTCTGCTCCCCAGAAGTACTGAGAGAAAAGCTGGGCATCCGTGGCTCTCGCCTGTCATCCTAGCTACTCAGGAGGCTGAGATCTGAGGATCTCAGTTCAGAGCCAGCCCACGCAGGAAAGTCTGTAAGACTCTTATCTCCAATAAACCACCAGAAAACCGGAAGTGGCGCTGTGGCTCAAGTGGTAGAGCGCTCACCTTGAGCTGAAAAGCTGAGGGACAGCGCCCAGGCCCAGAGTTCAAGCCCCACGACCAACACACAAAAAAGTTGTTTGAGAAAATTAGCTGGCTGCCTGTGGCTCACGCCTGTCATCCTAGCTACTCAGGAGGCTGAGGTCTGAGGACTGTGGTTCAAAGCCAGCCCGGGCAGAAAACTCTGTGTGACTCCAATTAATCAGCAAAACGTAGGAAGCAGAGCTGTGGCACAAGTGGTAGAGCTCCAGACTTGAGTGAACACACTCAGGGCCAGCGCCTAGATGCTGAGGTCAAACTACCCTATGGGTGTCAAACTAAAACAAAACAACCGGAAAGCTGGGCTGGAGGTGTGGCTCAGGTGGTAAAGTGCCAGCCAAACAAGCCAACCACAAGCTTGAGGACCTGAGTTCAAATTCTGGTATAGCCCCCAAAGAAAGGGGGGTAGGAGGCGATACCCAAAGTAACCTAATGGGTCACATGCAAAAATGTGCATGTCTGCAGTATGATCTGTAGGCTGTGGGGACCCTGGGACTTGAACCCAGGGAGCAGACCAGCCCTTGGTGATGCCCTGCTGTGGTGTTGAGGGGAGTCCCTTTTTGGGAAAGGGGGGGGTGCAGAATAGGGCAGGGTGCTTGTGGTTTTGTTTTTTGGGTCCAGTCGTGGGGCCTGAACTCTGGGCCTGGGCGCTGTCCCTCAGCTC